TGCGGATTCCAGGCGCTGGGGCCGTGGTTGTGGGGGAGAATCGTCAAAGGGAGGCAAGAGGGAACGAGATCCCGCCATTGGCGATGGACCCCCTGGTAATTATCCGCACTAGGGTGCGAAGGGTAGGTAGGGGCCGCGGTGGCGGCCGAGGCCAAATAAGACGCCTTTTCTCTTTGCAGGAATCGTTGGAGCAGTGCTTCGAGTTCTCGGTGGATCGGTCGAGATGGCAGTGAGAATACCGGGGGATGGTCGGGGTCATGAACGCTGGAAAGCTCGTGGCGACCGCAACGATGCATCGTGGATTTCGGGAAGCTCCTACTGGCCAGGCGATTCCTGGAAATCAGAATCGAGCCGAGGCTGGGGAGGCAGCTCGCGGTGAACGAGGTCGAAACGCGACCCATGGGGGCTGGACGCGCTTGCGGGCCGAGTGAAATTCGGGGCTACGTCGAGCACCGATCCTTCACCGCTGCAGCAGGAGTAGCTACGACTCGGAGGGATGGCGCTGTAAGACTTTCTTTTTTGGGGTTGGCGTCCCCGCGGCGAGCTGTAGCGAAAACTCGCACGTGGGGGTAAGTGGGTTTTGGTGCCCGCCGCGGGAGAGTCGTCGCCATCGTTCCTTCCGCCTCTGTTTGACGCTTCCGCTCGCCCGACGCTGCGGGCTTGTGGTTCAAGATGAGATTGCACACTTGTACGCAGTTCGCGTCTGGGCAAACGGTGCGCGTGCCTCTCTCTTGGCGCGCGCGTATCACACATCTCCGCATTGTCAGCTTGTCGGAACCACCGCGCCATTGGAACAATCATCCGTTCGTAAGGTCATCGTGAAGGGATCTCCTGAGTTAGGAGAAAGGAGTCGGGCATCTGCTCGATCATCGCCAGGTAATGGCATTCTCTGCTGAAAGATGGAGGAGGAGACGGAGGAAGAGCAGGAAGAGGAGGAGGAGGAGGAGGAGGAGGAGGAGGAGGAGGAGGAGGAGGATTGGGAGGAGGAGGAGGAGGAGGAGGAGATCCAGTGTAAACCCAAAGTTCATCAACGACATCAGCGATGCTAGAATAAACCCTCTCTCCAACCTCCCTTTCCATAGGCCCCTACACGGAGACAACCATTTGAAGATCCTGAAGCGTGCCAAACACCATTCTCGGGACTTCAACGCCACGAATCAACCTGATTGTTGCGTCTTGACGATCCCGAATCGTGCCAGAACACCATTCCTAGAACTTCGATGCCGCCACTCAGTGTAACTTTTGCGCCCTAACAATCTGGAGACGTTCCAGTACGTTAACCATGGGAATCCGTGAAGTTTATGACATTTCGCTGAACGGACGTGCGCGGCGCTAAGACCAGAGCGACATTTTGAAAAGGAACCGCCCTCAATCCGTGAAGCTCGTGCAATTTTTCAAACTAATGTGTGCGGCGCTCAGGCGAAAATCACATTTTGAAAACGGCTCTCCCTTAATCCGTGAAGCTCTTGCACATGTTTGTTGCGATTTTGAAAGCGAAAGTGCGCGGCGTTGAGGCGAGAGCCAATTTTGAAAAACACACGCCGTCAATCCGTAATGTTACTGCAATTTTCAGAGTTGAATGTGCGCTGTGCTAAGGCGAGAGCCATTTTTTTGAAGCGGCCCGCCCGCATCGAAGAAGGTGTTGTCAGTTATTTAGCGTCAGGGTCATACATGCGAAGGAGGTCTCAGGCGAAACTCCTGGCCCGCCCTTCCGACTGGCTTCGGGGTGCGACAGGGAGGGGAAAACGAGTGGAGGAGGAGGAGGAGGAGGAGGAGGGGGATGGGGCAAGCTAGGTGCGCTCGCGTCATATCTGACATCCTACCCCTCCCTCCCATCCCTTACCATGGCGCAGATCCCCTCTCTACTCGCACAGTCGGATGTCGAGCAGGGCAATGATCTCGAAAGGGTACGCGATGCATTGTAGGGCACGGCATGGCATGGCGTAGAAGAGCACCGCGAAGCGTAGTATCAACCTAGCATTGCATTGCATGCCGTGGCATGGCACGGGAAATGACGGCAGCGCTGCAGCGGGAGCACGAGTCGAAACAAGCAGAAGCGCGGAAATGAGGCCAGCGCTGCAGCGGGAGCACGACTCGGAACGAGCGGAAGCACGCCGGAATCGGCCCGGGAGGCCTCCCGGGCGCCGGAAGCAGAAATTCAGCATTTTCAAAAGAAAAATGTGTATTGGAATGGCCTTTTTTCGGCGCCGCCTGGGAACTCGATTTTCCGGGGCCGGCCGGAACGGGCTCCGGACCTGGCCCGGGCGCCGGCCCGGGCGCCGGCTCGGGCGTGCAGCCCGGGCGCCGGCGGAAATGAGGCCAGCGCTGCAGCGGGAGCACGATTCGGAACGAGCGGGGCCCGAAAATGAGGCCGGCGCCTCAGCGAGAGCAGCTTTTTGGAAAAAAATGCAGGCGAAAACCCAACTCCGGGGAATTTTGTGTGTAAAAAACAGTGCGCGGGGGGGGGGGCGGCTACTCCCAAGACGTCATCAGGGGAAGAGGGAGAGTAGTATTCATATTGCGTAATTGTGGAGGAGAACGACGAGGAGGAGGAGGAGGAGGAGGAGGAGGAGGAGGAGGAGGAGGAGGAGGAGGAGGAGGAGGAGGGGAGGAGGCGGAGGAGGAGGAGGAGGAGGAGGAGGAGGAGGAGGAGGAGGAGGAGGAGCAGGAGGAGGAGGAGCAGCAGCAAAGGAGGATGCTCACGGCAAAAAGTGACCGGCCTCAGTGGGACAACGGAGATCACCGACAGGAAGACCAACCAACGCTACAGGAGCCGTGCGCCGGGGGCTGCCGCACCGGTTTCGCGCAGGGTCGTCGTCGTCGTCGCCGTCCTCGTCCTCGTCCTTGTTCTCGTCATCGTTGTCGTGGTGCGCAGGCGCAGGGCGAGCCCCTGTCGCGGTTTTCCAGCCTCGGGATGCGTTCCAGCAGTTGCGCCCCGCCGAGAGCGTTTTCCAAGGGTGCTCAGATCGTCCCGAACGGGCGCCAGGCCGCCAGAGGCTTGAGTTATGGCCCGAAAACCACCAGTAACAGGGGTGGGCCTTTCCCTCCCGCGTCGTCGTCGTTGCTGCTGCTGTCGTCGTCATCGTCTCCCCCCCTTCTCCTCCTCCTCCTCCTCCTCCTCCTCCTCCTTCTCCTCTCCTACCCCCTCATCCCCCTCCTCCTCCTCCTCCTCCTCCTCCTCCTCCTCCTCCTCCTCCTTCTCCTTTCCTCCCCCCTCATCCCCCTTCCTCCTCCTCCTCGTCCTCCTCCTCCTCCTCCTCCTTCCTCCTCCTCCTCCTCCTTCTCCTCGTCCTCGTCCTCGTCCTCGTCCTCGCCCTCCTCCTCGTCTTGCTCCTCCTCCTGCTCCTCCTCCTCCTCCTCCTCCTCCTCTTCCTCCCTGGCCTGAGGGGGCCCCAGGACCTCAGAGGAGGCACGGCTCAAGAGCAGCGGGCCCCTGGGGCTCGGAGGTGGCGCGACAAGCGCCCTGTGCCAGGGTCACCTCTCAGGGGCAACGCTCTGGGGGGTATATGCTCGGTATCGTTTAACCGATCCCCATCCCGATCTCCATTCCCTTCGAGACCCCCACCAAATCACCACCCCAGTTGGGGATACACCCCTCGAAACCCGAAGGGAACGGCCTATATCCCCATCAAGGGGGGTAAATCGGCCAGCGGGGCCCAGGCCACGCCGCTGGGGATGGGGATCGGTTGAACGATACTCATAGGCTCAGGGGGAGCGGTCGATTGTAGCCCCAGTGTTCGATGGGGCGGGGAAGTCGTTCGCGGCGCAGAGGCGGTCGTTGCGCCGACCTGCAGGACTTGCTGTTCTGTGAGTAGCAGTCTCGGGCTGCTGAGGTGATGAAGAGCGAAGATGATGAAGAGCGAGGAATCGAAGGAGAGGCTCGGCTTCATGTCCAAGTGGAGGGAAACGCTCCATCCAAGACGCCCACGGCGAATCGACGCCGGCCCCTGCCACTCGGGAGCCTCTTGGACCGTCTTGGGGCCCTTTTGGGCCGTCTGGCGGGCATCTCGGGAACCTATTCAGCCGTTTGGGGGCGATTCTGCGATGTCTTAGAGCTGTGTATGGTGCAAATTATGTTGTGCAGTATCTGCGGCGTAAGCCATGTGGTTAACTATATGGGTTAAGCGAAGGCCCCGTACGCAAACGCATACACACCCCATGGCTGCAGGCGCTGCTTGGGGAACTGGGCCTCTTCGAGGCATTGTTGGAGCCCTCTCGAGGTGCTCCTGGGCCATCCCGGAGCCCCCTCGGGGCCATCTCAGGGGCGAGGGGGCGTGCCGATGGCGGGCCCGGCGCCTGGCACGCCGTGCGCCCCTGCGGCACGCCAAGAGGAGGCGGCGGATGAGGCCAGGCAGAAGCGCGGGCGACGCGCCCCAAAAACGGGGCAGTCTTCGCCGGCGTTGGCGCGGAAGCTGCCCGCGCCAGGTCTCGCGTGAGCGCCCTCGTCACCACTGCGGCGTGCCGCGCCGGCGGCCCGCGCAGGCCGCCGCGCAAGGTCCCCCACGCCATCTCGCGTGAGGCCCGTTTCGTTTCGTCGCTCACGCGGCGCTGCCTGCCTACCAATCATATGTCGAGGGGAGCTGGGCCCCCGGCCCGGGGGGCGGCCCGCTTCTTCAAGACTCCCCCCCCCCCCAGTCCCGTTTTCAGCCCCAGGGGGGGGGGGGGGCGACCCGCTTCGCGGCCGGGCCCGCTGCTTGGGAGAGGCCGCAGAGCGGCCCCCAGAGCGATCAGACCGCCGGTCCGGCGGCCCAGGACGGCCCCGAGCCACCCCGAAGACGGCCTCGCGGGGGCCTCAGACGGCCCCAGAAGCTCTCCAAACGGACCAAGGGGCTCCCAAGACGGCCCCAGGAGGCGCCAAGAGGACCCGCCGTGGCCATTCTGGCCCCAGCCGTTTTGGCCCCCGGATTTTGATCAACCTCGCTGCCCGCCGCACCACGCCGCCACAGCGGCGCCCCCCCCTGCGGGTCGACCCTCGCCCGTCGCTCGGCCCCTCCGCGGCGATGGCCCCCGCGCGCTCCCGGCCCGCCCTCACCGCCCTGCTGCTCGCCGCGCTCGCCCTCGGCGCGTGCCGCCCGGCGGCCTTCCTCCCCGCTCCGGCGGGGGCGCCCCCGAGGGCCGGCGGCGCGGGCGGCGAGCCGCTCGGGGCGCACGCTGCGGTGCTGGCCGCCGCCTCCGCCGTGCCCGCGCCGGCGCTGGCGCTCGCCTCCGAGGACGACGACGGCTTCGACGTGCGCATCATCGCCGTCCTGGCGCTGCCGCTCCTGGCCGCCTCGTGGGCCCTCTTCAACGTCTGGCGCGTGGCCTTCCGCCAGGGCGCCCGCATCGGCGAGGGCGTGGGCGGCGGGAACTCGAAGATCGGCCTGGCCCCAGAGGAGTGAGATCCTGGCCGAGGGGCGGCCCGTCCAGGCCCCGGCCGGCGCGTCGACGGGTGAGTGGCACGCAGGGTGCGCGTGAGCGCCCCGCTTCCTCCCTCGACCTCTCCTCGACCCCCCCCCCCCCCCTCGCCCTCCCCCCCCCCCCCCTCCTCGACCCCCCCCCCCTCGACCTCCCTCGCCCCCCCCCTCGACCTCTCCTCGACCTCCCTCGACCCCCCCCCCCCTCGCGCTGGCCGCCAGACCGCCAGACCGCCGCCGCAGGGCCCTGCCGCCCGCAGGCCTCGCGAGAGGTCCTGTGCGAAGAGCGGCGCACTTTTACACGCCAGCGGACCGCCTCAGTTGACATGCCGTTGCTCGTCCGAACACAGAGGGCGCACTGCAGCTCGCTTTCCCCGTGGATTTTTTCTCTGCTGGCCCCGCCCCCCCCCGCGCCCTCGGGGCGCAGGCCGGCGGGCCGGGGCCCTCGCCTGGGTGTCTGCCTCCGAGCTCGCCGGAGTGGCTGGGCGGACCGCCGGGAGGAGCCTTGCGAGCATCGGGCAAACAAAAAAGAAGGCGCCAAGATGACCCCGACGAGTGCCCCAAGAGGCCAACATGCCAGATTTTCTTGAGGTGTTTGAAGGATTTTAGCGTTCTTGCCGCTTCGGGCTTCCGACGCTCCCGGACGCCTCAAGAGGCGCCCACGACCGCCCCGAAACTGCTCAAGAGGACCCAGAAATCCCAAAGACGGCGTGAGAGACCTCTCGGGAGCCCCAAGGTGACTCGAGAGGGCCCCAGGATGGCCCATGAGGCCGCTCAAGACGGCACAAGAGAGGCCCCAGAGCGGCCCAAGAGGGCCCCAAGAGGGGGAACACGAACCTACAATTCCAGCCTTCCGCCTCCCTAGGCCCCCAGGAGGCCCAAAGAGGCCCCGACGAGGCACCTCGAGGTTCCCAAGAGGCCCCCCAAGAGGCCCCCCAAGAGGCCCCAAGAGGCTCCCCCAAGAGACCCGAAAGAGGCCCCAAGAAGGCTCAAAACGGTCCCCAAGAGGCTTCACAGCGGCCTTCGACGAGGTTCCCGAGAGGCTCCCCACGAGACATCAACGAACATTCAAGCTGCGTCTGACACACAGCCCAGACACCGTGGCGGGATGCTCCGAAGGCCTACATATGTACACACAATGATATCACACCAGAGGAAAACCCCAATCAGTGGATGGTTTTCGCCGAGGAGATCGACCGGGAACCCGGGAGCCCAGGAACTCTGCAGAACCCACCGAAATCGGCCCAGAACCAATAACCGGGAACCCGGGAACCCGGAACCGGGAACCCGGGAACCCAGCCGGCCACCAAAATCGGCGGGAAATTTTCGCCAAATCTTTCAACCTCCGCTACAATCGTGCATACACATACATACATATGATACCGGAGAAAAACCCCAGTCATATTTTTTTAATATTCCAATTGCTCCCTTGACAATCGGGCTATAGGGCGGGCTATAGGATTATAGGGCTATAGGGCTATCGGGCTATAGGGCTATAGGGCTATCGGGCTATAGGACTGTCGGGCTACCGGGCTACAGGGCTCTAGGGCTATAGGACTGTGACCTATAGGGCCATAGGGCTATAGGGCTATGGGGCTACAGAGCTATATGGGCTATGGGGCTATAGGGCTATAGGGATATAAGGCTATTAGGGCTATAGGGATATAATGCTATAGGGCTACAGGGCTATAGGGCTATACGGCTATAGGGCAATAGGGCTATAAGGCTATAGGGCTACTGGGCTATTGGGCTATTGGGCACCCCCGGGCACCCGGGCATCCCCGGGCACCCAGGCACCCGGGCCCGGCCACCGAAATCGGCCACGCACCTCACCGGCCACCCGGGCACCCGGGCACCGCCGGGCACCCGGGCACCCGGGCACCCGGGCCCGGCCACCGAAATCGGCCGCACACCGGGCACCCGGGCACCCGGGCACCCCCGGGTACCCGGGCCCGGCCACCGAAATCGGCCGCACTTCTCACCAAACCCTTTAATCCGCTAGGACCCCTACAGAGGCAAGCTCTGATTGGGGAGCATACGTACATACATTTATACATACATACATACATACATGCATGCATGCATGCATGCATACATACATGCATACACATATATATATATATATGTATATATATATAGATGTATATATACAACAATACATACACACATGCATGCATACCTATATACATACATACATACAAACATACATACATACATACATACATACATACATTCATACATACATTCATTCATACACATACACACAGCCATATATACACACATCCATACAGCCATACATACATACAAACATACATACACACATACGCACATACACACATACACATACACACATACACGCATACACACATACACACATACACATACACATACACACTTAGGTACATACATACATACATTCAATCATCCGTACAATCATACATACATGCATACATACATACATACATACATCTGCACATACATACATCCACACGCACACACATGCATACACACATACACACATACATGCAAACGCACATACACATACACATACACATACACATACACATACACATACACACATACACATACACATACACATACACACACATACCTACATACATACCTACATACATACATACACACATACATACATACACACATACACACATACACACATACATACGTACATACATACGTGTTTACATACAAGCATACATACATGCATCCATGCGTACGTACACGCATACATACATCCATCCATGCATCCATCCGTCCATCCAAACATCCATACATACATACGTACATGCATACACATGCATATTGGCACACACATGTATCAGCACACATCTTCTGTTGACACATATATATATATATACACATGTTCACATAGTGTACAGATGCATGCATACACACACCTGTATACATCTATATATGCATATATATATATATATATATATATGGATTATTTTGACATGCGTACAAGAATGCAGGCAAACATACATAACCAAACATACACACATTATGTATGTGTACACATTGGTGCATACGTACATGCACGGAAGGTCCCGGCCCCGGGTCACCGGGCATTGCGGAGCCAGACTCGGGCACCCCAGTTCTTTTTCGATTTCTCGCAGCCCCAGACGAGGCGTCGTAGAAGCCCCCAAAGACTCCCTTCTTAAGGGAACTCCCGAGTCAACCTGGCAGTGCCCACCAGCAATTTGCGATGATAGACCCTCGAGCGCGACTAGAACCTAAGCTCGAGCAAAGCGCGCGCGTGGTTCTAGTCAGAAATCTGAGAAGAACGTCCGCTTCCCTCAGCAGCAAGTGAAGACGCCCTTCAAGGCGAGTTTGCGCAAACCTCCGCGCATGCTCAGCATTGGCCTCGAGGAGGAGGAGGGAGGAGGAGGAGGAGGAGGAGGAGGAGGAGGACGAGGAGGAGGGAAGGCGAGCCTTCGATGAGACGGTCGGCATGGCTTGCTTCACCGATCTTGAGGAGCTGGAGGGCGTGGTGGCGGACCCCCGGGCGCGCCGTGAAAACATCGAGGACCTGGTCACCTTTATGCGTGACCAGGTGCCCATCTGGCTCAAGATGGGCCCGGGCAAGCAGCTCTACTGGAGGCACGAGGTTGCCAGTGAGGTGGGATGGTCAGCAACGGGCAGTGGGTGGCAGGCGAGCAAGGCGAGCCTCGTCAGAGACGACGGTTCAGACAGCGACAGCGAGGGCGAGGGCGGCCAGGGTATGGCGCGGCTGCGCGGCGAGGCCTCCGGCGATCAGGGCAACTCCAGGGCCGCGGTCGGCTTTGAGCAGAAGGTCTTGGGCTGTTGCAGCGCAGAGAATGAGCCCCAGTTTCAGTGGGCCATCACGTGCGTCGCGCTCGCTGGTGCGCGCCGCAGGCTGAGAAATATTTCCGAGGATGGGAGGTGTGCGAAACGTTGGGCGCAAAGATGGGGCAGATCATTGAGTCGCTGGCCAGGTCGCTGAGGCCCTCGAGGACGCGAGTGTTTTCGAAATCGATCTCCCCAGACTTCGTGCGGAATTTATTCTTGTATTCGAGGGGGAGGGTGTGTGGTGTGTGGGGGTGGGGTAGGGTGGGTGGGTGGGTGGGTGGGTGGGGGAAAGATAGGGTGACGCATGCGGCACGATCGGGTCCAGCTTTAACCGTCGATCTCTCCCGCCCCCCACCCCCGTGGCCTGCCGCGGGAACGCCGTCGGTGCAGGGGGTGCGTTACTCTTGGGACTGGAGTGTCGGCAGGACCGCGGAGGAAATCATGCGAAACCAGAATGGGGCCTGACTGGAATCTGCGTGGTTCGGCGGGCTGGGGGGAAGGGGGCTGGGGAGGAGAGCAGCAGGGGTGAGGGTACGAACGGAGGAGTGGCGGCCAGAGGAAGGTGGAGGAGGGATAGGGGGAGATTTCGACGACGCCCGCTCCGGACGGACCATCCAGGCCTCCGGAACAGGATGGATGAGCTGGGAATCCGATTGTATCAGCAGCCTGTGTGATTCGAGGATAAACTCATCACGTGCTGGAAGATTGAGGATAAAGCAAAACCAGCACCAGTCTCCGTGGGCCTGAGGGACAGGTTTGCAGGCGGGTTCAGTGAGTCGGCCTTGAGCACAACCGCTGCTTACAACCGGTTCTCCTGCTTCGTCAGGGGTACGATGGCAGCCGCTGTTAAGTTACGGACGCGGACGCGGCCCATTGGGTGCAGGCGGAGTTGAGGAGGAGACATTGGGAGCTGAGGGAAGAATGAAAGAATTGCACCGCGTGGCGCAGTTTGAGAATATCAGAGAGAGAGAGAGAGAGACAGAGAGACGTTAAAGTGCGGCGCCCACGAGATTATCAGGGCGTTTTGCGATGCGATGGAGGATGCAGAGAAGGACTTTGAGCGCGAACGCGCGATCGATAAGGTCATGGCGGGGAAGTAGGGATCTCCTACATAGGGCCAGAACAACCAATTTGGTGGGTTCGGGGATTCGCGTCGTAGCGCCGATGCATCAGCGATGCCAACTGACGTCGAGTTTCGGCGATGCATCGGCGATGCGGCGCGTTCTCCCGACCCCCATCGAGTTAACTACTCGGGCCTCATCCGGGAGGCGCAGAGGAACGGGCGGACCGTCCTGAGGGCAAAGCTGAGTAAGAAAACGTTCGTGCAATTCTCAGATGGGCCGTGGGGTGCGGATTGCGTGTTGAGCGCGCGCCGTTTCAGGCGTGCCTTGACAGAGAAGGGGCGCGACGACCTCGACGGTCAGGGCCGCCCCAAACAAGTGCGCTGGGCGACCGAAAACAAGCAGGAACAAAGTACGCCATCTCAGTTCGACCAGCCTGGGGGCTTGAGGGTGCGTCGGCCGTGAATGACTTCAAGGGGCAAGCCAGTTTCATTTCCGATGTGGATCTGCTGGGCGGCCAGGAGGGCCTAGAGGATATCCAGGAGGTGCTGATGACGCCGCGCGAGAAAGGGGCGGCTCTCGGCATGGGTCAGTGCTTAACAAATCAGAAACCCGACACTTATAAACCGCTTGCATGGAAGTCGCGGCGACTGGACAAGGTTTCCGAATGGGGGGTCGGGCCAGGGCCGACGCGCTGAAGGGCGTCGGGGAGCTCCCGCATCAGGGGCGCCCCTGGGCTCTGGCCACCCAGGCGCCCTCCGCGCCGACTGGGCAGCAGGAAAATCAAGAGCGGTGAGATGCATAATAACGAGGTAAAAGCGAAGAGTCGCGACGACAAGGTCGAAGGCAGGCAGAAGTAGCGCGGCCGCGCAGAGAAGGGTGGGGGCGGGGAGGAAAAGGTGCATTGGATGAAGGAACTCGAGGACTAGAACTCGCATGTGGGCCAGTGGGAAAGAAGTAGCGGGAGAAGTCTGGATAATGGTCGTTGGATTTAATAAAGATGACGCGCCCTGCGGTCGCGTTGGCCGCTGCGCGGGCGCTGTTCGGAACGGTCAGGAGCTGGTTTTCGTGCTGGAGGACATGGCGTTCCACGCCGCGCCCCTGGGCAGCTCGATCGAGTGCGGGGAGAATGTTTAGAAACCCACGTTTCTGATGACGTTTGAGCGCGTCAGCTGGCTGACGAAGTTTAAGATGCTCGGCGGGCCTGGGATGACAGTCCATATATCAGCCCCCCCCCGGCTGAGACCGGCGCGACAAATGGGCGCGCTCATGGAGCAGGCGCGCACTCAGCGACGGACAGTGCTCTTTCAGCGTGCGCTTCCTAGGCTCAGGTTCCACGTCTGACCCCCTGACCGCCTGGCCGTCTACCTTCAGTGCGGCGCGGAACGGGGCGACGTCAGCGAAGCGCCCGTCGAGTAGGCGGCTCAGAGGTCGTTGGGTCTGCGGCAAGCTGCTGTTCCCCGCGCGGCGCCCTCAGTGCGATGTGCATCTGGCAGTGCACGGGGCGCTGCTTGTGGTTCAGGCCTTTGCGGGGGATGTAGACGCGAGGTGCTGCGACGCCCCCGACGAGAAGAGAGGGAGAGAGAGAGAAATACATATGACTATAACAAGACATCACACAACAAATCAGAGAGAGTGAGAGAAACACACACATAATATTATATTATATGATATGTATTCTAATCTATGATAGTACATTATTTTGGATCATAGTGTATTCTAGTGTATAGTGTTTTATTATAGTATGTTGTATTATGTTCTGTTATCTTATGGTATCTTACAGTGTATCATATCACATTACACTATATTATGGTATGTTGTATCATATCATGTTACAGCATTATTTATTTAAAAAAACCAAAAATGTCGTGTATTTTATTACGTTCTGCTATGCAATATGATATTGTACCATCGTACATTTTATTCTATTTACCATATCCTACCATGCCATCTTATACCATAGTGGATGATTATATATTTTCTTGCATTGCACAATATAGTGTATTATATTCCAGTTTATTTTTTATATTATGTCACATTGAATTTGATTATATTACGTTCGTATGGTATTGTAACATATTATAGTGTAGTGCACTTTTTTGTTTATTTATACCATATTTTCATATTGTAGTGTATTATATTATATTATACTATCGTATAGTGAATTATATTATATTCTATTTTATTATATTATATTGTATTTTATTATGTTTTATTATTTCATGTCATAGTGTATTATATTTATTTTATTATATCATATTATATTATATCACATTATATCATATTACATTGTATCACATTACATTATAGTCTATCATATTCTATGATATTACATATTTTTATATTGTTTATTGTATTATATTATATTATATTATATTGTATATTATCATGGTATATTACATTGCGTTATATTTATCATATCGTGTTTTGTTATTACTTTCAAACTATTGTACATGAATATATTATCTCATATACTATACGATGACATTATTTAATAGTATATTATATCATATGGTCTTATGTTATTTTATATTATATGATATTGTATTCTAGGTTCTCATATTTCATATAATATTATATCATAGTATACCATCGTATACTAAATGTATATATATATATACACAAGACTGCAGTGGCGCTTCGCGCCATTCACCTTGGTCCTTGCAGGTTGGTACGCAGGCGGAACAGCAGGAAGGTCCAGCCGACAATTTGGCCATAACTCCTTGTTGCCTTTTCCGGCATCGTCGCTATAATAATGTTATTCGTCATCCTTGCTCCATGCTTCTTTTTCTTCATTTTGGGCCATACCCTGCGCCTCCTGGGAGTATTCTGGGGGCCTAAGGGGGCTTCCTCGGGCCACCCTGCCTCCAACCGCGGTCTCCTTGAACGACCCGGTCACGCTATGGAATGCTTCGGAGGGTGTCTTGGGGCTATCTTGGGCCGCCGCGGGGCTCTCTGAGGGCCATCTTGGACCCGTGTTGTGCCGTTTTGGGGCTCTTTTGGACTGCCTGGAAGCCCTTTCGGATGGTTGTGGGGCGATTTTGGAGCCTCCCAGGTGGCTTCGGACGCCCAGAAGACCGCCGTCTTGGAGCGTCGGGAAGCCGAAAAGAGGATAACCCCCAAATTCACCAACAACCAACAGGAAATCCTGGATGTTTGCCTCTTGGGGCCTTCTTGGGAGCGCTCTTGGAGGCCTCTTTGGGGCCGTCCTGGAGGCCTCTTGGGCCATCTTGAGGTCACGTCGGTCACTCTTGGAGCGCTGTTGTGCTGTCTTGGGGGTCTCTGGGACGTTTCCGATGACCCCCCTGATCGCCCTAGGTGTGCCGGGAAGGCTTGGCAAAACGCTCTGCGAGGCCCGGGGGGGCCGCTTCGAGGCCCGTCCGGAGGGTCCCAAAGCCCCAGATCCCGAGAGTCCTTTTTTTGTTTGTTGGGGGGGGGGGGCCCTGCCCGGGCTTATAAACATATAGGAAGGGGAATACATATACATACGCACAAGCACATATGTGTGTATATATATATATATACATACACATATATATATATATATATATATATATAAGCAGAGAGAGAGAGAGAGAGAGAGAGAGAGAGAGAAAGAGAGAGAGAGAGAGAGAGAGAGAAAAAACAAAAAAACATAAAAGAGAAAGAGAGAGAGAGAGAGAGAGAAATCTCAGCGAATAGGCCGATTCAGCTCAGAAGGGGCAGTCCCGGGCGCCGAGTCGCCTCGGGGCGTCGCCCGCCAGCGCGATTCCAGGCGGGGCGGCTCAGATTGCGGTCTCCGGGTCGCGCTCTCCGCGGGGGTTCGAGGCGGGCCCTCGACGGTGAGGGCGGCGCGCCGTGCGCCGCGGTTTGGCAACCGGGCTTAGGCCGCCAGGCAGCCGGAGAAGGCGCGGCTGGTGTGGGTCCAGGCATCCCTGCTGGAGGAGGCGAAGGCAGAGGTTGCCGCGGGGGCCCATTCAGCAGAGAGTCGACGCGATGGCGTTCGCGCGGAGGCAGGCTGAGGCGCTCCAGCAGAGGGCTCAGGAGGCGTCGCGGTTCCCCCGTCTGGGCGCCAGGTTTCTGCCCGATGAGATCCCTGAGGGCCCGGGGGGGTGGGGAGCAAGCCGCGCCGGGGACGCCGGGGGACGAGGAGTTCAAGGAAAAGGCTCGGAAGGCGATTGCGGTCGTCTTTGCAGCGGCCGAGGTGGAGGAGAGGGTGGCCGATGAAAAGGCCGCTCAGCAGGCGGCTGTGTAGAGGGAGATGGACTCCGACAAGTGGTTGCGTCATGAAAGCACGATCCATGAGGAATGGCCCAAGAGCGCCGTGGAACAGGCGGAGGGGGAGATGGGCAGTCAGCGAGAACTGCCAGAAGATGAGGCTGCGGCGAATGAGACGCAGGCCGACGGGAGTGCCGAAGAAAAGGCACGGGATGAGGCTGAGGAGGAGAAGGAGGAGGAGGAGGAGGAGGAGGAGGAGGAGGAGGAGGAGGAGGAGGAGGAGGAGGAAGAAGATGTGGAGGTCGAGGAGGGGCAGGCCGAGGAGGCAGATTCGGTGCCAGTTTCATACGAGGGCGAGGAGCAAGATTAGCGCAAGGCGCAGGCGCAGGCCAAGCAGGGGAAACCGAAGAGAACCGGTCGAGGAGGAGGCTCCGGGAAAAGTGGCTGAGGAGGAACAGCATCAGCGAAAGGCTAAGGAGCAGGTTGCGGTTGCAGCCTTGGAGGACCAGCTCCAGCGGGGCGACGAGGGCTGTGAGACGTGGACCAGGAGCCTGGGTGCGCAGATGCTTCAGGTCATCTTCGATCACGTGTGCCTGTCCAGCCCCGTCACCGCTGGGCTCAAGGCGTGCGTCGATGAGATGGAGCAGAGCGTCAAGGTCTGCTCCAAGTGCAGCTTCACCTTGCGCTGCGTCGTCTGCAATCACGATCGCGCCTGGAGGGGCGTCGCCAGGAACTGGGGGCCGCTGGAACGGTGGCAGCGGGCGACCGTGAACGTGCCGAGAGGCATGAAAGGGGCGCTGCCGCGGACCTTTGACGCAGTCTCACGTCGAGAGTTGGGAGCCAAGTGCTGAGAAATTCCATGTCGCGCAGGGCCCGGGGACCAAACAGGAGTTGAGGTAGGTCGTGATTTCAATTGCTTCACCTCGTGTGTTTTCAGTATTGCGCCATCTTTGCCGCTTTACTTGGCGCGTGGGCCGTGTAATTACCTCAGCGTGGATGAGTTGGTACTTCGTTGTTACCTCGTTACTTTTTAGTCGTTGGCAAGTTGAGTCTGACGTCGTTTCTTTTCCCTGTTTCCGAATCTGTTTTTCGGTATTATTCGGACCGATCTGAGAGAACCTCCTCCTCGCCTCCTCTGCCTCCTGTTCCTCCTCTTCCTCTACCAGAGTGACCCATTCACACCCAGACTCACTCATACTGACTCATATTCATACTCACTCACACTCAGACTCAATCGCACTCCGACTCACGCAAACTCAGACTCATTCGCACTCATACTGATTCGCAGTCAGACTCATTTGCGCCCATATTCACTTGTATTCAGATCAGTACGCTCAGGTTCATTCGCAGTCAGAATCACCAACACCGAGACTCCCTTACTCTCGGACCCAATCACAGTCATTCTAATTCGCACTTGTACTCCTCTCGTGCTCGGATTCATATGTATTCGCATGCATTGGTGGTCCAATGCCCAACCCCGGTAAAGCAAACGTAGCATTTGGGCACCCCGAGGAAGGGGCGCCAAGGGCCAGGGCATTCCAGGATTCGCGCTCAGATTGTGGGGAAGTCTCAGGCTCTTTGCTTGTGTGCATGCCCAACGCTTTCAGCTTCCGGGCCAGATTCAGGGGGTGTTTCAGGCGAGGCGCTGGTTTCGACATTCCTAATTCGGGTGGGGGAGGTCAAAATTGAGGGCGCCCCAGGATTTGCGCCCAGATTGAAGGGATGTCTCAGCGCCCAGATTGTAGAGATGTCTCGGGCGGTTTGCTTGTTTGCGTGCAAAACATCTTTTACTTTCAGACAGATTTCAGGATGTCTCAATCGAGGCGCTGGTTTTAACACCCCGATGGGGGGGGGGGCGCCAGGGGTCAGGACATTCCAGGGTTCACGCCCAAATTGCGTGAATGTCTTAGGCGGTTTGCTCGTTTGCGGGCTCAACAATCATTGCTTCTGGAACAGGTTTTGAGGATGTCTCAGGCGGGGCGGTGGTATCAGCATTCCGAAAGGGGTGCACTTGGGGTCAGGACATTGTATAACTCGCTCCCAGATTGTGGGGGTGTCTCAGGCGTTTTGCTTGTTTCGGATCATCACATTTGATGCTTTTGGATCAGATTCTGAGGATGTCTCAGGTGAGGCGCTGGTTTCATCACTCCTTGGGGGGGGGGTCGCGAGGGGTGGGGGCATTCCTGGGTTCGCGCCCAGATTGTGGGGATGTCCCAGGTGGTTGCCAATTTCGGACCGTAACATCCTTCCTGCTTTCGGAGCAGATTCTGAGGACGTTTCAGGCGAGGCGTTTTTTTCAGTGGTCCTAGGGCGGGGGCGCCAGGGGTGGGCTTGGGGGCACTCCAGGGTTTCCGCCCAGATATTGGGGTTATCTCAAGCGGTTTGCTTGTTTCGAACCATCACATTTGATGTTTTTGAGTCAGATTCTAAGGATGTCTCAGGCGAAACGCTGGTTTCAGCATTCCTAGCAGGGGGGCGCCATGGGTGGGGACATTTCAGGATCGCGCTCAGATTGTTGGGAAGTCTCAGGCAGTTTGCCCGTTTGCCTGCCCAGCATCCTGTGCTTTCGGAGCAGCGTCTGAGGATGTTTCAGGCGAGGTGCTGGTTTCAGCACTCCTAGATGGTGGTGGTGGTGGTTGTGGTGGTGGTGGTGTTGGTGGTGTTGAATTTTTATGTTTGAATAATTATTGTTGATCCCCCCACCAGTGCATACTGTTTTTTCTCAAAGTGTGCCCCTCGACGCTCGCACTTTGTTTTTTGACAAGGAAAGTCTCCCTGGTCAAACTGGCCCCTTGGCCCCTGGGTTCCAACAACAACGGCTCCCGCCTGAGACCTCCTCACAATTTAGCCAGGACCCCCGCTCCCGCCCGACATTTCCTCGCATTTTATTAGGAATCGCGTTCTCGCTTGGGACTTCCTTACAATTTATTCAGGAATCGCTCTCCCGGAGCTCTGGAGTCGCGCTCTCGCTGGAGACTTGCTTGCAACTTACTGAAGAATGGCCTTGCGTTGGAATTTCGTACAATTTGCCCAAGCGCCGCGCTCCCGACACCCAGGCACCCAGGAGTCGCGCCCGTTGTGCATGCCCTTCGTGGCCCCGCTGTCGCCGTTTGTGTCCCCCTCACTGTCCTACGTGGCCCAGTTGCTACCCTCAGTGGCCCCATAGTTGCTTTCTGTGGCCCCGCATTAACTGCATTTCGTGGCCCCCGCTCGTTCGCGCTCTTCGTGGCCCCATACGCATTCCCTTCGTGTCCCCGCTGTCGCCCTTCGTGGCCTACTTCGTGTCCTTCGTGGCCCTGCTGTCGTTCTCTCTCGCTCTCGCTTTCGCTCGTCGTCGTCGTCGCCGTCGTCGTCGTCGTCGTCGCCGTCGTCGTCGACGTCGTCGTCGTCGTCCTCGTCGTGGTCGGTCCCCTGTCCGTCCCTCTGGGGGTCGGGTCGACGGTCCGCGGCCGCCCCGCCGATCAGCGCTGCCGCTGGCCAGGCCGACGGTCCGCGGCCGCCCCGCCGCTTGCCGGGGCCCGGCCTGCAGGGAAGAAAGGTATACCCCCCAAAAGGGGTTCGATCGAAGACGGAGAGGGCGGGTATCGAGGGTTTGGGAAATACGCGTTATTGGACACTCGAGCAGATAAGGGCGAACAGTCTTAAAATGATGTTGTTGTTGTTATTGTTGTTGTTGTTGTTGAACATTATTAATTCTAAAGAATAATTATTGTTGGGCCCCTGGTGCGCGCCCCCCCCGCCGCGCCTAGGCCGCAGCCACATTTTCATCATTTTCGTGAGGAAGTCTCAGGCAAAACGGGTATCCAGATCCGGTTGTGTTGTTACGATCGGTTTTCCCTTGCAAAAAATAAAGCAAAGTGGACATTTCTTGTTCTAACATGACCAAACTTCAAGAATCCCTTGCAAAAAACGACACGAAGTGCACATTCGCGCGCGCAAGACGAAATCCTTCCAAAACCTTAGTCTTCGTAGCGATTTTCACATAAAAACATGAAAAACCCAATGGTTTTTCAAAAAAAGGGTTTCAAAAATTCACCCCGCGCGCTCTTGCGGATTTCTTAGGAAACCCAATACTTTTTCAACATTTCTGTCAAACGGGCTCTTGCGAGCAACTTTTTCACGTGCTTCGAACTTCTGCAACAAAGGTTGCGCGCCTGCCAGGGCCATCATCCCTGTCAAATAATACCATGTGGGACACATTCGTTTTTTCTTCGCGCGCGCACGCCGAAATCTTCAAAAATCATTGGGTTTCTCAGGAATTTTAGCACCGCGCAACATAAAATCATACGAATCGCACCGTAGGTTCTCGAAAAACATCTGTACGAATTTTCAAAATTTCTACCCGCGCGCGCTGTCCGAATCCTTAAAAACCAATGGTTTTCAACATTTATGTTATAGAGCTCGCGCGAGCTGTTTTCGCAAGCTCTTTCAACGGCGTTCGCGCGCCTGCCAGGGGCCACAATCCCTTGCAAACAATATCATGCGGGACACATGCGCGCGTCGTCGCGTCGTCGTTGTCGGCATGGTACCACAACAAGTCAGTGTGTCACCACGTCATCGAACAAAATCACTGATCACTGTAGTCACCAGTGTCACCAGTGTCACCAGCGTGTCACCACCCATGCGCCAGTGTAGTAGCCAAGGTCGTCCGCAGGCCACGAAGTGAAGTGTCCGAACGTCATAGGGCGGGAAGCTGGGTGTGGGTGGTGGCGAAGAGTCGTTTGGAAACTTGGTAGAGCTTGAACCGGCCCCCCACAAAGTGGGGGTATTGCCCGCCTCCTATGAAAACCCTGGCACTGGTGAGAACGGAGTGTCCCCAGTCTTAAATGATTGTTGTTGTTGTTGTTGTTGTTGGTTGCGTGGTGGTGGTGGTGGTGGTGGTGGTGGTGGTGTGTGTGTGTGTGTGTGTGTGTGTTTGTGTGCGGGGGGTTAAGGGGCGGGGCGCTCCAGGATTCGCATCCAGATTGTGGGGATGTCTCAGGCGGTGTGCTTGTTTCGGACCGTCTCACCTTGTGTTTTCGGAACATATTTTCTGATGATGCCTCAGGCGAAGTGCTGGTTTCAGCCCTCCGAAGAGGGGGCGCTAGGGTCAGGACATTCCAGGGTTCGCACCCAGATTGTGGGGATGTCTCAGGCGGCTTTTTCTCATGCCCAGCATTCTGTGCTTTCAGAGAAACTCTGAGGATGTCTCAGGCGAGGCGCTGGTTTCAGCACTCCTCAGGGGGGCGCCAGGGGTGGGGGCCACTCCAGGATTCGCGCCCATATTGTGGGGATGTCTCCGGCGGTTTGCCTGTTTCGGACCGTCGCATCTAATGCTTTCGGAGCAGATTCTCAGGATGTCTTCTTAGGGGGGCGCCAGGGGTGGGGGCACTCCAGGATTTGCGCCCAGATTGTGGGGGTGTCTCAGGCGATTTGCCGGTTCCGGATCATCACATTTGATGCTTTAGGATCAGATTCTGAGGATGTCTCAGGCGAGGCGCTGGTTTCTGCACTCGTAATGGGGGGGGCGCCAGGGGTGGGGACATTTCAGGATTCGAGCGCAGATTGTGGAAGTGTCTCTGGCGGTTAGAGCAGATTCTGAGGATTCCAGTCGTAATCGCATTAACATACACACATTCAGACTCATACTCAGACTCATTCGTATTCAGAGTCACGCGTATTAGGATTCAACCGCGTCGAAGTCATACTCAGACCCATTCGGACTCAGACATGCCAGCGCCCAGGCTCATTCATCCACACTCAGACTCAATCGTACTGATATTCGCTCATGCTCAGACGCACCCGTATTCAGACTTTCCCAAAGTT